AGGAGGAGGAGGAGGCAGACCCCTGCTGGAGGGCCCAGGCTGCTCCTCCAGGACATTGAAGTTAAAGGGCTGTCCTTGTCTCACCTGGACCAATGATACACCCTTTGCTGAAGGGAGAGTCTGGCCAGCACCTGGAACACACAGACAAACACAGACTGTTTTAGGATTTCCAGCTTTCATTAAAAGATAAATCACAGAACAGATTCCAACACACCAACAGCTTCATGACAAACTCTTACCACTGAGTCCTCAATTCAATTCAAAGAGCTGGATGTTGGTCTGAGCCATCAACCTGGAGCCGGCCAGCACTGCCTCTCTGCTGCCACATGATCCTTGAGAATGAATGACCAGCGAGTCCTCACGATCCCTCTGGACCACGTGGCCACCTGGTGAAGACGGCCTCCACCAGGCGGCTAACACTGGCCCAGTTTGCAGGGCCCGAGTTCAGTCCAAGAAGACAGCTGAAAGATAATCAGAGAGCAGTGTGTGTTAATATAGATCTGATATTCATTAGAGGAGACACTGATATCTGAAGTGAATCTCACCTCTGGAGACTCTCCTTCCCAGGACAGGAGGTGGTCTTCCCCTCGCTGCCTTGAACTGTCACCTGGGCTGCCTCTCCTGGTCTCTGGGAGGGAAGACAACTCGCTCTTCCTCCTGCTCTGTCTGGCAGGTGTGACCAGGAGCTTGGAAGTACTTGGCACTGGCTTGAGGAAAAAGGTTTTGGATCAAAAATGAATTTTATGTTTGCATGAAATGATAATACACAATATACTTAATCACAAGCTCTGAGACACACGCATGTACCTGGGATGAAGTGGTTAATGAATCTGGGCAAAATGGGCAAATACAAACATTTGATCGTCACAAATAGAATGTAAGTATAAGGGAAAGCATGTAGGAGCTGCATTTAAGGCTATGTAATTTATTTCTATTCACAGGACATATTAATTATTTAGAATGAATTATTGATTAAAAACAATTAATTTTATTTGTTGCAGTACATGTGTGCCCTCCTCAGGTGGTGAGGGCGGGGCTTAACCTTTAAGTTTTGAAGGTTGAGGTGAGACGAGGGATTGACAACCGGAAGCAGCGATACTGTCATTGACCGCAGCAACATCAAGATTGTTGGACACATAGGAAATGTCATATTTTGCCTTACTTTTTTGTTTTTCATGTTGACAATAAATTCAATTAATCTCAGAACAACACGGCTCACTGGATCTTTTATGATTGCACGTCAAACACCCTGCTCCCACCACCAAGTTAAAAGATAAATAGGACAAGTTAAAGGACAGACTCAACTGCAGGCTTTTGGCCACTACAAAGCATGATTGTATTTTATAATCCAAGCATAGATTTATATGCTGTAAAAGCAAATCAAAATGTTTTGTATGCTGCAAATGTGTCAATATCAGTCAAGTTAAGCTAAATGTCTTTGTTTTAACTAGGTGTCAAAACTGTAAGTTGGTTTGCAATGTGGACAAAGAACATGTAGCTTTACTTTTAAATGTCAGCTTTGGTGGTTGTGCTGTAAAGGTGCAATATAAGATGTGGCTAGAACTTTAGTTTAAAATGTTCAAAAAATGAATTAACTCTATCAACAGTGTGTGAATCAGCCACAGTGATGATGTCATGATCAAGACCTCCATCTGTTGTATTTCAGAGTTATCTACTGAAATGCGCATGCGCACCAGCCAGCCCCGACCTGTCCTGTGTTGTAATACCACTTTGTGACACTAGACGCTGTGTGAGTCAGTGGTGCGTCAAGTCTGCCCTCAGTCCCACGAAGAAGAACAACTTCCGGCAGCGCTTGACGTCAGCGTCACAGAAACACAGGAATGGCTGAACCTCTTAAAAGACGATATTCATCTGCATCCCGAAGGACCGCTCCCGACAAGAAACCACGTTCAACGGCAAAGAAAAGAAGCGACACGAGTAAATCTCGATGTGGCTTTCCACCGCTGGAGACGGCTCCTGAGAGGAAAGAGATGCGGTTTGATGCCGAGCTCGCAACTTTCCTGTTAGCCTGGTGAGTAGCATCAATGCTAGCTCTTAGCTAAAAGTATAATCAGTGCAACGACCGACAAACATTTCAGGTGGTGATATTGACGTTGTCGACAGACGTTTTAGCGGTTAGTAGGATTGTGTCTGTTGCTCTCGGCTGTTGTACAGCTAGTGACGTCAGTAACTCTAGGCTCATTTTGTAACTGATGACTGTAACTTGAGATTGTATGGACCCAGTAGACCGAGTGAATACACGTAGATCGGTTCACCATGTTGTAACCACTTTACATTACTGTTAGGAGATCAGCCATGATTGAAAGTGAACTAGGTCTTTACATTTCTCAGGAGATTTCAGCGTCCCTCTGTCTTTATCAGGACCTAAGCCAGTGCAGATACAGTACCGCCTCCACCCGTCTCACCAACGGCAGAGAGTCCAGACAGTGAGGAGGGTCTAGGTGAGTAACATGCTATCATTCACTTTTAACAGTAAGACTTGTCTATACCACTGTGATTAAATCAGACCCACAGTGTATACATGTTCATACTGCTGATTCTTAACAATGAATATACCACTGCCTATATTGTTATGTATTTTACAGTATATCCATATTTTTTGATTATATTGTGGGTACATTGATTTCTTATAACACCTCTAGTTGTTTACCCTTCTTTTCCTTGCATTTATCTCATAATATAATACTGTATGTATTTTTGCATATTCATATCTATGCTCATTGTTAGAAAGCCTATGTTGTTATATGCTGTTGCTTGTTCATGGTTATCAGTCATTCATTATGTATCATTCACTGATAGTTTGTTTTCATTGTGAATTGTAATGTTCCACGTCATTGAATGCACCAGAGCTGTACTGACGCCCCTTGAATGCACCACCTGTCGTGTGTGCTGCGGTGTCGTGAAAGCTAGTTAGTTTCCCACTCCATGTGGCTGTTGATTGCTGGAGGGTTTTCCCTGGCCTGTAGGGGTCTTTTACCTGCATTTCATCGATTTATTGCTGTGTGTAAATGACAAAAGGTGAGTTGGAAGATGTTATATTATAGATTAAGTACTAGACTGTATATTTGTTCACTTTGTGTTTGAGCTGAGTTGGGCGCCATGTGGGGCCGTGTGCTGGAATGCTAGTGATGCTAGTAAGCTAATTTATGTTGCTTACATTAATACATTTGAATTGTCAATACATTTGTTAGTTAATACAGTCCTTTCTGTAATATTGATTGTATGATTATGTCTTTATGTTGAAGTATTTTAATTGCATTGCGTTTGCTGTATTAATAGCCTTTATTTGTTTGTATTATTATTACAGACCAGCAGAATAAATCAGTCATAACTGAACCGGAAGTCCGTCTCTGTGTTCTCTAATCGGGACACACATCTGTACCTTCTCGCTCTAAACCAGCTAATTTCCTGGAGACCCCACTCTCCGTTTTACTCATAATTTATTATACACACAACAGGCCTAACATGTTTGAATATAAAGAACTTGTATGATCTAAACAAATTGTCCTGTCACATGTTTGTCTGTATCAGGACCAGAAGTCCAGTCTAATCTTCACCAGTGATGGACCAGCACCTGCCTTTTCTTCTGCATCTGGCCTCATCAATCATCAACCACATTACATCAACACCTTGAGGTATGATCCCTGCACATGACAGATGTTGTCTATACTGTGATCTTTTGCACATCCCCTAATCAATACCTTTTGCACATCTTGCCCAGCTGGAGTTTTGTCATTCTAAATCACATTTGTACATAGTTGTGTAGTATCATTTCCATTGTTTTATTTTCTTATATATGTATCTATGTATATTTATATTTGAGTGTTGTAGTATTTTACCTTTTTATTGTTATTTCCTATGTATACGTTAATTGGATACTACACCAAGCCAAATATCTTGCAAGTGAAAACCTACCTGGCAATAAACCTTATTTTCTGAGTCTGCCTTTGTGATGATGTCATCATCCCTTCCTCATGCTGCTATAGCCTGCAAAGGACCATCCATGTGTCCTGCAGTATCCCCTTTCCTTCATAAATCTGCAAGTGTATGGAGGTTACAAGTTGAATTTAGATCCTATTTTCACCTGAATTTAAATTCTACTTGTAACCTCAGTGTCACACACTTGCAGGAATTTTGAGCATCAAGTTTTACAGTTTTGTGCTTTGTATGTGTACACAGACTCTGACAGAAGCTTTTCCTCTTTCAGTGTCTTTGTGTTGCCTCACCACTAATGGCATTTGTTCAGATTTAAATCTTTCTTTTTTTCTTTTTTTTTTTCTTTTTTACAAATAGAAATCTTTTCTATACATGGACAAATTCCCAGAGTAAAGTACATGTGCTATTTGTTCAGATGTATTAATAAGTCTCGTTTTTATTACAGTGTATGCTAAATGAGGGTTAAATGGAGGATTGATGCATCTTTTATGTATTTAAGTCCTTAGAATGCTTCATTTTCTCCTCAGGCCAGATCCACATCTTATCATCCCCCGAAACCAGGTAGAAATGGTAAGTCATATGTATATAGGCTCAAATTAGGGTCAAAATGATTTTGATCTTGTTAATTGACCTTAACAAATAATTCCAATGTTTCTAGTTGAAAATCAACATTTGTTAACCTGTAAAATAAATCTCCACAACAAGTTTCTGCATGTGGAAAAATTGTGCTTGTGTAGAAGAGATTTGTATTTCTCAAAAAGTCTAAATTGAAACTATGAACAAATGATCAGTTTGAGGTTAAACAAAGACGTATAAAAGGAAGAAATGGTTCTGTCAACATCTGTGTCCTGATACAGAGAAGTAAGCTGTAAAATGCGGTGCCCTAAAATTCTCACACACTGAAGTTACAAGGGTCAAAATTGGCACTTGTCAGTGTCACACACTGAGAGTGTTGCACTCTGGATCTCTGTACACAGACATCCATAAAAGCATTTCTTCTTTCCCTGTGTCTTTGTTTAACCTCACCACTGAGCATTTGCATTGATTCACATTCTTCTTAAACAAATACAAATCTTGTCTCCAAACACTATTATTATTATTTTCCCCACATGCACAAAGTTGAATATCTTATGCAGATTCATTTTACAGATCAATCACAGTCTTCTCCCATGTTCTGCTCAACTGGAAACTGTCGGTCCACTTCCTGTCTGCTGCTACTGGAACACACACACACACACACACACACACACACACAACCTCACCACAAACCTCACACACAATGTTTGAACCAGCTGACCTTCAACCCACACACACACCTCAACCACACACATACACACCTCACACCACCTCACACACCTCAACAACACACACCACCTCACACACACACACACACACACACACACACACACACACACACACACACACACACACCTCACACACCTCACACACACACCTCCACACACACCTCACACACACCACCTCACACCACCTTTCACACACCCACACACACCTCACACACCCACCCCACACACACACATACACACACACCTCACACACCTCACACACACACCTCTCACACACACACACACCTCACACCTCACACACACATACACACACACACCTCACACACACATACACACACACACACCTCACACTCACACACACACACACACCTTTTGTTTGTGCTACACTGCTAAACTTGGTACAGTGAAATGACACTGCATATGGATTCAAAAAATCTTTTAAAGCTATGATCATTTTTATAATATATTATTTTATATTTATGGAACACAACTATAAATTATTGATCAGTCTCTAAATCAATCAAAGAACAAGCAAATTAAATCTTCAAATAATCTAATACATTTTCATTATCAAATATAAATGAATAAATACAAAAGACACAAGGTTCCACAACACCCCGAGAGAGGGGGCCTAGACCTGAACATGTTGTCCATGTCCGGTGAAAACTATGAAGCAAACACAGAACAAACAGAACATAAAACATAATACAATATCTTCAACATATTAAATCAAACATGCTCGGCTTGTACTGACCCGTGTCTGCAGGTTTTATATTTCTCAGATCAACTGAGGGAAAATTCCACTTCGAAACAAATGAAACTGCAGCTACTGTCCATTTCTCAAAAGATGATAAAACTGTTCTTGGACCAATTTATTAGAAAAAAAAAAAGATTTTTCATATCAACTTGACTTTAAAACTGTGAAAGGGGCTGATTCCTGGTTTTCACAGAACAGCAGTGATTTGTGAAAGTTTCTGTTTCCACTGGTAAATCTGATGTTAACGAATCTCTCTCTTCTGCTCTTCTAAACCCAGACAAAGCTGTCCACAGACACTGTCCTCAGCCAATCACTTGCTGTGGTGTTGTCATGTGACCCACCTACTGCTGAAGAGGAACTGCATCAGCCTCTGATCTGTTTGGACACAGCCCTCACTCCTGTTTCCTCTGGAGGAAATCAATGTGTTCTCGTCATTTATCTGATCACTCCCCAAGTCCTTCATATGTTGGTGGTGGATTGCGTGGTGGAGAAGTTCTCCATGCGGAAACGAACCACCTTGCCTTGGGGCGGTGGTGGGTACAGGAAATGGCAGGTGAAGACCTGGCGGCAGGCCTTGCGGAAGTTTTCGGACAGGAAGGCGTAGAGAATGGGATTAACGCAGGAGTTTCCGTAGGACAGGCAGTGAGAGATAATACGAAAGGCAAAGGAGGCGTCGTTCAAGGGGAAGTTGCCAAACTCCACCCACATGGCGATGATGTGGTGGGGCGTCCAGCAGATGGTGAAGGCGGTGACGACCAGAAGGACCGTCTGAGCCGTCTGCAGGGGAACAGAGAAGAAACGTCAGTCTGAATCTCCAGGGTGTGTTCAAGGACCAGAGGAATGTTTAACATTATTGCATACCTGAACACTGCAAACACTTCCATTCTTATAAAATGAAATCACAGACACTCCCCAACATACTCTACAGACACTCTACAGACTGCTTCCTGAAGCCTCCACCAGTTTATTCTCTGTTAGCAGCTTCCACTGTGTTGTGTTGTCCTCACTGTGACTCATCTCCAAACTCAACACATCCAACTTTTAATAATTATATTTATATTTTACACAATTATAATTTAACTTCCTCCCACAGTTCTGGAACCAACTGCTCCACTTATTTATAAAGTCTGAGTTCACATGGAGCCTGACTAAAGCTTCCACCCAGCAGCAGAGAGACCGGGCCTGGTCTGAGAGAGAGAGACAGGGTCCAGTCTAAGTGAAGTCCTGTTAGTCAGCGCTGTCTCAATGCAACAGACAGATGGACCCAGAGAAGTTCCAGATCCCTGTGTGGACAGGTGATCTGCAGGTGGAACTGTCAGCCGATGGAGGATGACAGATGACTCAGCTTTATAATCCAAACAAAGCGAGGAGGGCAGCAGGTAGACAGGCTCTGTCCACTTCAGGTCTACAGAGACTGAACGACTGGAGCTGAGAACACTTCAAAATAAAATGTCTCTGAAGAGGAGCTCTCAGTCTCTGTCTGTCTGTCTCTCTCTCTACCTCTCTGTTTGTCTGTCTCTCTGCCTGTCTGTCTGTCTGTCTCTCTGCCTGTCTGTCTGTCTCTCTGCCTGTGTGTGTGTATCTCTCCCCTGTTTCTGTCTGTCTGTCTCTCTCTCCTGTCTCTCCGTCTGTCTATCTCTCTGTCTCTCGCTCTCTCTCTTGCCTGTCTGTCTGTCTCTCTTTGCCTCTCTCTCTCCTGTCTGTCTGTCTATCTCTGCCTCTCCTATCTGTCTGTCCCTCTCTCTTTCCTGTCTGTCTGTGTGTCTGTTTCTCTCTCCGTCTCTCCTGTCTGTCTGTCCGTCTATCTCTGTCTCTCCTGTCTATCTGTCCCTGTCTCTCTCTTTCCTGTCTGTCTCTCTGTCTCTCCTGTCTGTCCATCTGTAATTATAAACATTGACAAATGATTGATCGATTATAGATTATCACAATATTTGACATATTTCGCAGCTATCACTGCACATTGACTTTTCCCGCCACATAGATAGCAGTTTCTGAAGATCGGGGAGGTGGATAACCTCAGGATATATATGATTTATTTTTTCAAAGAAATCCTTATATTTGTCACAATATAATAGTAAGTGAGATTCTGTCTCAACTTGTCTGTACATTGTCAGCATTTACCTTAGTTTTCATCAGTCACGGTGGTCAGGTACTCTGCCACGATGTACTCTCTGTTTGTCTCTCTTTCTCTCCTGTCTGTCTGTCAGGATCCAGGTGACGTGCGTCTCAGTCTGGATGTTCTAGTTTCGACTCCTCAGACTCTCGGAGAATCTCTTCTATTCTTAGTCCTCTGTCTAAATATTTACCCAGCAACCCTTGTTCTTGCACTGACCCAGAGCAGCAGATCCTCAAACTGATCTGTGATCTGCTGCTGCAGGACGTCTGCACACTGTTGGCTGTTGGCCCGGGTGGGGGTGGGGGCACAGTAACTGATTCAGAGTTCAAACAATCGTGATCAAAAGAAGATTGATCAGTGAAACGTTTTAGAAACTTTAAAGGAGGAGGAGGACATGAAGTCAGGAAGTGAGGAGGAGTCAGGGAGAGAAAACAAAGACTGGACTGAAGAGTGAGGAGGGAGGAGCAGGGTGGAGCAGGAGAGGAGAAGGAGGGAGAGGAGGAGGAAAACTGCACCTTTCTTTTGGAGCGCTCAGACTTCTTTGACATGTTCTTCATTTTTTTATGAAGATGAAACAAAACCTGAAAAAACAAACAGTTACAGACAGTTACAGACCGACAGTTACAGACAGTTAGACAGACAGTTGCAGTTACAGACACTTTGACAGTTAGTTACAGACAGACGGTTACATACAGACAGTTACAGTTAGACCGACAGTTAGACAGTTAGAAAGACAGTTACAGACAGTTAGACGGACAGTTAGTTACAGACAGTTAAAGACAGTTAGACAGTTACATACAGTTAGACATACAGTTACAGACAGTTACAGACAGACAGTTAAAGACAGACAGTTATGGACAGACAGTTAGTTACAGACAGTTATGGACAGACAGTTACAGCTACAGACAGTTAAAGACAGAGTTACAGACAGTTGGACATACAGTTACAGACAGACAGTTACAGTTAAAGACAGAGAGTTAGAGACAGTTACAGAAAGTTACACACAGTTACAGTTACACACAGTTACAGTTACAGACGGTTACAGTTACAGACAGTTACAGTTACGGACAGACAGTTACAGACTTACAGACAGTTACGGACAGACAGTTACAGCTACAGACAATTAAAGACAGCGTTACAGACAGTTAGACATACAGTTAAAGACAGAGTTACAGACAGTTACAGTTAAAGACAGTTACACACAATTACAGTTACAGACAGACAGTTACAGACAGTTGCAGACGGTTACAGTTGCAGACAGACAGTTACGGACAGACAGTTACAGTTACAGACTTACAGACAGACAGACAGTTACGGACAGACAGTTACACACAGTTACAGTTACACACAGACAGTTACAGACGGTTACAGTTACAGTTACAGACAGTTACGGACAGACAGTTACAGACAGACGGACAGTTAGTTACAGACAGACAGTTACATACAGTTAGACATACAGTTACAGACAGACAGACAGACAGTTATGGACAGACAGTTAGTTACAGACAGTTATGGACAGACAGTTAAAGACAGTTACAGACAGTTACAGACAGACAGTTACAGTTAAAGACAGAGAGTTACAGACAGTTACAGTTAGAGACAGTTACAGACAGTTACACACAGTTACAGTTACACACAGTTACAGTTACAGACAGTTACAGTTACGGACAGACAGTTACAGACTTACAGACAGTTACGGACAGACCGTTACAGACAGACAGTGACAGACAGTTACAGACAGACAGACAGTTAAAGACAGACAGTTAGTTACAGACAGTTACGGACAGACAGTTACAGCTACAGACAGTTAAAGACAGCGTTACAGACAGTTAGACATACAGTTAAAGACAGAGTTACAGACAGTTACAGTTAAAGACAGACAGTTACAGACAGACAGTTGCAGACGGTTACAGTTGCAGACAGACAGTTACAGTTACGGACAGACAGTTACAGACTTACAGTTACACACAGACAGTTACAGATGGTTACAGTTACAGACAGTTGCAGACAGACAGTTACAGTTATGGACAGACAGTTACAGACTTACAGACAGTTACGGACAGATGGACAGTTAGTTACAGACAGTCAAAGACAGTTAGACAGTTACATACAGTTACAGACAGTTACAGACAGACAGTTACAGACAGACAGTTACAGACAGACAGACAGTTACGGACAGACAGTTAGTTACAGACAGTTACGGACAGACAGTTACAGACAGTTACGGACAGACAGTTACAGCTACAGACAGTTAAAGACAGCGTTACAGTTAGACATACAGTTAAAGACAGAGTTGCAGACAGTTACAGTTAAAGACAGTTACAGACAGTTACAGTTACAGATAGACAGTTACAGACAGTTACAGACGGTTACAGTTACAGACAGTTACAGTTACAGACAGTTACAGACTTACAGACAGACAGTTACGGACAGACAGTTACAGACAGACAGTTACGGACAGACAGTTACAGACAGTTACAGAAAGTTACAGTTACGGACAGTTACGGACAGACAGTTACAGGCAGACAGTTACAGTTATAGACAGTTAAAGACAGAATTACAGACAGTTAGACATACAGTTACAGTTACAGACAGACAATTACAGTTAAAGACAGAGTTACAGACAGTTACAGTTACAGACAGTTACAGTTACAGAGAGTTACAGTTAAAGACAGTTACAGACAGACAGTTAAAGACAGACAGCTACAGACAGTTACAGTTGCAGCCAGACAGTTACAGTCAGTTACAGATTGTTATGGACAGTTACAGACAGTTGCAGACAGACAGTTACAGTTACAGACAGTTACAGATTGTTATGGACAGTTACAGACAGTTACGGACAGACAGTTACAGAAAGTTACGGACAGACAGTTACAGAAAGTTACGGACAGACAGTTACAGTTACACACAGTTACAGACAGACAGTTATGGACAGACAGTTAAAGTTACAGACAGTTACTTACAGACAGTTACAGACAGTTAAAGACAGTTACGGACAGACAGTTACAGACAGTTACAGTTATAGACAGTTAAACAGTTACAGACAGACAGCTGCAGTTACAGACAGTTAAAGACAGAGTTACAGACAGTTAGACATACAGTTACAGTTACAGACGGTTACAGTTAAAGACAGTTGCAGACAGACAGACAGTTACGGACAGACAGTTACAGACAGACAGTTACAGAAAGTTACGGACAGACAGTTACAGACAGTTACAGTTACAGACAGTTATAGACAGACAGTTACAGTTACGGGCAGACAGTTACAGACATATAGAGACAGACAGTTACAGACAGTTGCAGACAGTTACGGGCAGACAGTTACAGTTACAGACAGTTATAGACAGACAGTTAAAGACAGTTACAGACAGACAGTTACGGGCAGACAGTTACAGACAGACAGTTACAGACAGTTACAGTTATAGACAGTTAAACAGTTACAGACAGACAGTTACAGTTAAAGACAGAGTTACAGACAGTTACAGTTAAAGACATTTACAGACAGTTACACACAGTTACAGTTTCAGACAGACAGTTACAGACAGACGGAGAGTTAAAGACAGACAGTTACAGACAGTTACAGTTGCAGACAGACAGACAGTTACAGACAGACAATTACAGATAGTTACAGTTACAGACAGTTACGGGCAGACAGTTACAGACAGTTACAGATAGTTACAGTTACAGACAGTTACGGGCAGACAGTTAGAGACAGACAGTTACAGTTACAGGCAGTTACAGTTAAAGACAGTTACAGACAGACAGTTATGGGCAGACAGTTACAGACAGACAGTTACAGTTATAGACAGTTAAACAGTTATAGTTAGACACCGCCACCTTGTGATCGAAGTTCTTATGGTTATTTTTTATTGATTTAAATCAATATTAAAGGAACTGAAGGACTTGAGTAAAGTGATTATCATTCCTGGGGATTTTGACTTAAACTCATCAGACAATAATATGATAATAACAATATATCATTTTAATCACAAATTGACCTGGTTGAGCAAAAAGACCAGTCACCAGGAAGGATAATAAAATATTTTATTACAGGAATCTTTGATCACAATCTAATACTCATCTCTCATAAAGTGAATAAACAAACACATGACTCATTTCTAAATGACAACATTTAAAAATTCAAAAAGGACATGGATACTGAGCTGAGCTCCACATTCAGTATCAGTAACGCAGACATCTACTGTTAAAACATTTATGTAGATATAAAACAAATAATATAGAGTAAACATTAAGGTGTCTAAAAGACATGAAAGACTGACTGAGCAGATATCGAATCTTTTAAAACAAAGGGATTATGATCTAAAAACAGCTACAGAGTCAATACTGAAAAAAATCTTAGGAATAAAATTATTAGTTTATTATTAGTCTTATATTTAAAACTAGAGGAAATATGCATTTTCTCATTGATGTCATGACTGGGATGGAAAAGAAGAGTCTTCAGTAACAACAGCAACATCCTTTAATAGCTGTTTAATCAGTCGGTTGAACACATGACATTCAGATCAGAAGACATGTCTTCATGTCTACATGTCTTCATGTCTTCACATGGTTAGATGAATGTTTGACCTGCAGACTGAGTTTTTATTTTTAGTCTAAAAAAATTCAACATGTAGCCTAGCCTTACAGGACTGTTGCCATGGAGACAGAAATGAAATATTTCATGTTTATTAGAACTGATCATATTTAGATGATGAACATTTTTTTCTGTTAGAAAGAACATTGTCAGATATTAAGTTTCACTTAGAAAAAAAAATCTGGGTTTGTGATTTAAAATTAAACAAAACATCGGAACACTTGAACTTCCGTGTTTTATCATTGTTAATATTTCAACATCTCAACCTGCGTTAGAACTGAAACCCACTCCAACCCTGTGTCACTCTGGGGATATTTCGTGTTGAAAGTTGTCGGCGGTGTTGGTCTGCGCGCTCTAGCCACGGGTTTTTACGCACAGCTGATATGATGAGTAGGACTTGGTTTGCGCCCTTTGGTCCCTGTGCTCTGTGATTACCGGAGTGGTGGACTCACCTTGGTGTAGCAGCAGCTGATGAGCAGCAGCGGCAGGACGTATCCGATCATCAGCACCGTCACTTTGTAGCTGTGCCTGGAGACTCCGGACCATTTCTCCCAGCAGAAGGTGCTGTTCGGGGCAGTGGGGTGGTTGGTGAGGACCTGGTGCTGGGCCACCGGCACCGAGCACACCAGTGACAGCGTCCAGATAACGCACACCCCGACCAGCGCGTTCCTGCGGCTCCGGACGCACGGAGACTTCTTGGAGTGCACCACGGCGATGTAGCGGTCCACGGACATCGCGACCAGCGTGAAGATGCTGACCAGCATGCTGACGGTGGAGAAGTAGTGTCCGAACTTACAGACAAAGCCTCCGAACACCCACTCCGGCAGGGAGTAGATGGTGGCCTGGAAGGGGACGCAGAACAGGAGGAAGCTCAGGTCCGCCACGCTCAGGTTCAGGATGAAGATGTTGGTCGGGCTGCCTGAGCGCCTCCCCCCTCCTCCCGCACCGCCGCCCCCTCCGCTGCTGTACCTCACCTTCCCGATCACCACCATCACCAAAGAGTTCCCCACCACCCCCACCACGAAGATCAGCCCGAACACCACCGGCACGATCACCGCCTCCGGCCCGGACCCGCCGTCCTCCGCCGCACCGCCGCTGCGCGCCGCCTCGGACCGGTTGGACTCTAGGTGTTCAGCCCAGCCGGAGGAGCTGTTTCCCGGCTGCAGCATGTTGGAGCTCCGGGCGCTGGAGGGTTAGAGAGGAAGACAGTGACGGACTGACTGAAAGACCAGTTCCATGATCCAGGTCAAACACGTCCAGCAGCGGAGTCCGGACTCTAGACTCCTGGAAACACGGCAAGTTGACGGAGACATTAAATACTGCTTCCTGTCAGGGACTGTCAAAGTAAACTGCTGGATCTGGATCCAGTTTTCTCACTTCTCATCTGTGAAAAAGGATGGAGGGAAATTACACTGTCATTGATTCACAGACATGAATAAAGTTTTGATGAAAAACTTCAAATAAAAACAGATTTACTCATATAACATCTTCAGTCAGAGCTCAGTGTGAAAAACAGTTAAAAAGTGTGTTTAATAATATTTTTAGTGATCTGAATATTTTTTACAGACGTGTCATTTTTCTTTTTTCTAAACTCATGCTGACCAATCAGGTTTATTTTGTAGACAGTTGCTTGAACTTCCTGTTCAGCTGTATCTGTGTAGTCAGTGGCAGTCTGAAGTCTCCTGATAAGAAACTGTGACATGGTTTTATTACAGTTGATATTCACTTTATTAACAATGAAGCTGGTTTGAACTGAAGAACTGCGTCTGTCACATGATATGAAGTTAAGGTGATCAATAAATAATCATCAGTTACTGCAGTTAGTACAGTTACTATAGTTACTATAGTTAGTACAGTTAGTGTTGTTACTATAGTTAGTACAGTTACTATTGTTACTACAGTTAGTACAATTACTACAGTCACTATAGTTACTACAGTTAGTGTATTTAGTACAGTTACTACAGTTAGTACAGTTACTATGGTTACTATATTTAGTACAGTTATTGTTACTACAGTTAGTACAGTTACTACAGTTAGTGTAGTTAGTACAGTTACTATTGTTACTACAGTTAGTACAGTTACTATAGTTACTACAGTTATTGTTATTACAGTTAGTACAGTTATTGTTACTACAGTTAGTACAATTACTATAGTTAGTACAGTTACTACAGTTACTATAGTTAGTATAGTTAGTACAGTTACTAATGTTGGTACAGCTACTATAGTTAGTACAGTTACTATAGTTAGTACAGTTATTGTTGGTACAGCTACT